CCTGAATAATGACCAAACCATGCAGTCCCTCCAGAGCTGAGCATCACCTGTGAGAGCACCGTGTCCTCAACCTCCAGACGCACAAATTTGGGGGCTGTCAACTCCGGCATTCGAGTTGTTTCAAGCTTTTGTGTTCAAGCACAAAGCAAAAGGACAATCTCTCTGAAATGTTTTGGAATTGGATATATTGTCAGAAACTGGGGGTTTTTTTGTGATTTCACTGAGAAACCAAAGGAAACCTGTAAGTGTTAGAGAGAGATTGAATTTGATCCTTTCAAAGAAGGTTGGCAAAATAATACTTTTAGTGGGACAGCATTTTGTGCTTCTTTTTCCAAAGGATCTGGGTAGCTACCACAGTGCTTTACTGATGACTTCCTGGTGACATAGGTTGTCTCACTTAAAAAGGTGGTTGCCAAATCAAGCTTATAAAATGTGACCTGTATATACACTGATATAGCAGTGTGTACAAGTTTGCTGAGATAATATGAGTGAGATGTGATCTTCCTACCTGTTAGATATGGATTCTGAAGTCTATCTGTTTTGAGCTGCCCTCAGAGCATTTGAGAAAGACTAGGAGGGTCTGTACAGTTTATTGTGAATGGTATTATATTACAACATTCATTGTATGACTTTTACACCACAGCAAGTGCTTTACAGAATACCAACCAATTATGGCATTTATTTTTATTCCTTGATTCAACTTAAAGTTGCTTTTTGTGGCTCTCTTGAACTCCAAATGGGGAGCTAAACTATCAGAGTGGTGCAAAATTTGAGCATAGTATGAAGAAAACATAATTGAAATCACAGCATTAAGAACAAAAATTCCAACTGATGTATATTAGGTAGTTTTCCTTAAGTAATTTTTGACTTCACCTTGCAGAGAAGTTGAATGGCTTAATCTCTTTACCAAAAGCATAACCCAAGGGCCCTCTGGACCCCCAAAGCAGTGGTGAATTTGCCAGAAGGTCAGCTGGCATGTCAATCTGAGGTATGAAAACACAGTTCCCTGTTTAGGATGGAAAGAGCTGGAGATGTCCCCCGCCCCCCAGGATGCTTGCCTCCTGTGAGGAAAGTCATGATGCATCTCGTGTGTGAGGGATACATCTCTCTTCTTCTGACAGCTGCAAAACTTAAAGGCAGTGATTTGAGGAGGGGAGATGGATGCTGTGGATTGGCCTTCCCCAGCACAGCACACGTCTATTCTTCCAGCGCCTAGCACAGCGCTCGTTACGGTTCTGTGCAGAGTGATTTCTCTGCATGGCCAGGTGATGTTTAAGGAGACTAATGAGAGAAATGATACGGCCCAGAACACTGGTGTCAGGAAATATATTGCAAGGTGTCTATCTTGGGGAAGCTGGAAGCGGGGCTTGTCTTATTATATATTTCAAAGGGGATGTCTGTGTCACCACCAAGCTAGACATGCACCCTGTCCCATACTGCATTCAAATTACTTTATTTTTTTCAAATCATAGCTTTCCATTCAATTATCATTGGCTTAATGACAGGCTCTATGTTGTATGAGGGCAAAAGAAGAGTCCATCGCGTTAGCACACCGTACTTTTTTGGCAGGAACTTTTTTCTGAGGCCATTGTAACATAACTATGCAAGTGTCAGAGGGCAGGATAGAGGCTATTATGGGCTTCTGCTTTTTGTGAGGAAAATCAAACAAATGTCCCTGATGGAAAAAAGGAAACCAGCAGTGGGATGTGATGACCAGAGAATGTTTTTTGTGCAGTGACACTGTCAGTACCCAGTCTGTTGTCAAACTGAAAAAAATGCCTTTTTAAATGTTTTTTTTCATTCTGCTGGTAAGCAAAGTGGAGAAACCCCTCCTGTGAATTTTCATGAGATACCTTTTCCTCATTTCTAGCACTTAACAATCCAATTATATTTGGTTTTATGGTAGTATTTGCCTCTATTGCTATTGTTAGGTTTTTGAATTAGAGTGATTTTTCCATCCTGATGGTGCGGAAAAAAATATGTTTCATTATGACTTGTTATAACCCTGGAAATATCTTCTCTTGCTTGGGTTGATGATGATTTTTTATGTTGCTTTCTATACTGATGCCTAAAGTGAAGTAGAATGAAGCATAAGGAAGAGAAGCTTTACTAGAATATCGCTCCTTCCACTGTGTAAAATTATCCTGGAAAAAGCTTGCATCTTTCTAATGTTGCACTTTTCTTCTCCCCACTATTATTCAAGTAGTTTTTACAGATGAATGTTGTTTTTGCAAGGGCTGTTTATGAAGCCATTGCTCTTAGCAACACCTGCTCACCTGTGAGCAAATTACATGGCACAGATAAGGTATCTAGTTGTTTCTCGATAGGGTGACCTTAAAAACAGATTCTGCAACAAGACAAGCTTTTAAATTCCTAACCAAATATATTATGTGAGTAATAAAAAGAGCTCCTCAAAATGGCCACAGAGGCATTTCAGAGCACATTCTTGGGAATATTCACTTGTGCTAGTATTCATTAAGTTTGCTTTCAGCAAAAATTCTCATGAATGAAATTTTATTCTCTAGTCATTATGGTTATTACTTTACTATCTTAGCAATAACCACATGCTTTGTATAAGGCCAGGACCTGATTTTGTCTAAGGCTGGAGAAACATCTTATGGGGTCTCCAGAGAGTGTATTGTCTAAATATAAGACCAGACTTGGCTAACAGCTCATGACTGGGAACTGCAAACCCTCAGAGAGCAATGGGTTTGTTTACAAGAAAATTCACGGCTAGAGAAGGATGGTTGCAGAACCATACCAAATGTTATACCTTTTGAGCTATAGGATGCTACAGTGTTACAACTCCACTGAATATGAATGTAATTTTACATTTTTATGTTATAAAAGTAGTTAAGGTGATGGTGACTGGCTTTACAGATAAAAGAGAATATTGCTACAGATGTGGTTCATTACTACATTGAACTAGTTTATCCACACATTAATGAATATATGGGATCTGGACTCTCTTTGTTGTTGTTGTTTTGGGTTTTTTTTGGGTGGAGGGTGTTTGGTGGTGTTTCTTTTTAATTTTAAAAGTGGCCAAATGCAAATATTAGTTCCAGGGAAATCTCTGAAGCACAGGCTGTGTCAAAGAGTTGGACTCTTGAGTTGTGCAATATATGGACTCCCAGGATGTGAATAAAGCTCTTCCTGGAAAAGTTAAATGAGATTTTTAGCTATTCACAGCTGAAGTCTGCATGAAGTCTTGTTTCCTCCAATCTAGAGGAATATAATAGAGCAGAGGTATCCTATCATGCTGGTGGAAATTGTGCCTAAGTCTAGGCACAAGGAAGTATTTTCAGAGCTGGAGCTCATTTGCTGAGCACAATGTGTATAACGTTGCTTTGTGTGCCCCTGCGTACTGGTGGAAAAGCGTATCTGCCATGCCTTGGAAGTGATTCAGTCTGGCTGGCCAATGTGTAGAGTCCTTCAGCATGCTGTGGCTGGCACTGGCTGCTACCTGGAACATTGATTTTTGGGTGTACCAGGGTGCAAGCTGCACTATGGTCATGGGTACAAGGTGCATAATATACACATGCAAAATGAAAAGGTTCTGTGAGGTGGAGGGAAGGAGTGTTAAAGAGGCAGTGTGCCAATCCCTTGTGTTACTCAAACCCCAAAATAACCATTCCTCTCTGCCTGTAGATCGATCAGAACAGTTTGTTGGCAGCAGAACTAAGCACAGGACACTAAGTATTTCTCCTGTTTTGTTGTTTAACTGCTCTCTTTTCCCATGTCATGTGAAAAATAAATAATCTGATTAAATCCTTAGACATTTATAATTAATTAGTTCTTCCTTACTCTTATCTTGTTTGCCCGTCCTTTTGTCTGGCTCTTTTTTCTACTTTATCTCTCAATCATCAGATCCAAGAAATCATTCAATGATTTATTTTTAACAGATAAATGCAGCTTTACAGCATATTCTTTTCTTTTGAAAAAAGACTTGGTCCCTTCTTTTGTCCATCCCACTGCACAAGTTGTCATGTTCTGGCACTGCAGTCACTTTGAAGTCCTTGAGCTATCACGTATTCTGTTGGTATTTGAGGAATTGAAAATCAATCACACAGCCTTATGGCTTGGGTTCAGCACAATTCTATTATGCCCACTCGCAAAAGTCAATTCAAACCTTTTGGGTTATATTTCAAAGCCTAATCAAGCTTGCTGTCCAGGCTGGTTTGGAGTCAGCTCACTCTTGTCTATAGGTCTGTTTATTAGAGGTTTTGTGTCAGAAACCAGTGTAAAAGAAAGCAGTTTTCATAGCAGTAGAATCATTCGGTAGGCATTTTGCAAATACAAACCACCCGAACAGGTTTTATGGTAGAGGAATACTTACTGTTGTAATACAGTTCTGCAAATATGTTTTTAAAAAATGTAAACCCCCCCAAAATTATGTTGGTAACATAAAACTACGTTTATATCTGTACTTGCTCATAAAAAGATGTCCCAGTTTGCTGAGATCAGTTTTAAGTCCTGTCAGGTTAAGCTGGTAAGAAAGTATTGTAGATTCAACCCTGAATTTAGATGGTGACTTTCATGCTTTGGACCATATGAACAAACGAGGGTGGTGCACCCAAGCAGATGGACCAACTCCTCCACGAATGAGTTGTGCCACCTCCATGTGACAAGTGCCCATGGGGCTGAGTGTACAATGTCTATGTCAATCCCCTGATTTCCAGCAAGTGCCAAAAACTCACCCTGAGAATGAAAGTAGCTCTGTAGAGAACTGACCATCAGCAATCATCTGTGAAAATATGTACCTGTTGTGTATTGGGGGCGGATCAATCTCATCTCTATGTGAAGAAAGCAGTGACAGGCTCTTGGTTACAGTATTTCCAGCTGATCTGTAGAAGCCTTCTCATGCACTGAAAGACTGGTGGCCATTTTGTGGGAGCCAAGTGTGCAGTACAAATGGGAAGCAGCTCTCTCTTGCCATCCCCTGTGGGTTAAGGTCTTTCTCTGTGACCCATTCATGTTTCTTCTCGTCCTGTGTTCTGCAGAGGCGCAGTGATTTTCTCCAGTGGATGCTTGACTCCTGTGACTCAGCTGGCTCCCTGGCAGCCGGGTGTTCTGATGTGATCAGCCCATCTGCTGCTCCCAGACAGAATGAGGCACCTCTTCCTGGCAGGACCCCACCTGAAAGGGTTCAGAAGACATTAACAGAGGATGAGATAGCAGGCCAAGCTTTCCTATTCCTGATTGCTGGGTATGAGACCACCACTAGCACGCTGTCCTTTGCCACATACTTGCTAGCCACCAACCCAGAGTGCCAGGAGAAGGTGCTTCAGGAAGTTGATGAGTTCTCTGCAAAACACGTGAGTATGAAGTGCTTGTGTGGAGCTTCCTGCAGGGGCCAAGGCAATGTGAATGCCATCATGCCACTGTGAAATTGCTGGGAGAGGTATCCAATAGGATAGGTACGTGATGTCATTCATGTCTGTCTGTAGATGGTGATCTGAGTTAGTTACCTTTTCCATGTTAGTGCATAGAAAGCTGAATACAAACAGTAATTAACTGTCTGATTGTTTATGGATATTTCATGTAGGGAGTCCATGCATATGGCCATGTCCACGTTAACTAGTAGTGTGCTGTCATAGACAGATTCGTCCTCTAGCATGGCTGGTAGTGAGGACTGTTGGATGCACAATCTATGCACCTCAGGAGTTTATTCTGGGTTAGTCTAAGCCTGACTCTGTGTACCAAATTCCTCTTAGCAGTTGGTCTGGTTTAGTTCCAGTTAAAGGAGCCCTTGCTGTGTACTTGGAGACTGCAGTGTGAACCAGTGCAAGAGATTCGGATGAGTCTGCTCCTGATCCAAGCTCAAAAACTAAATGGTACTTGTGTTGTTTATGGTCTGTCTGAGCTGTCACTCACCATAAGTAATATTTCAATAATAATCCAATTAAAAGGCACAATTCTTGACTCTCTTGGTTCTCTAGGAATATTTTGCTAATAATTTCAGCTTTTGCACTGTCTAGGAGACATAAGGATGCTTGTGGTAATGTGTAGAGAGATGGCACTCAAACTAAACTAATAGTTTTTGCAGATTAGCACTGTATAAAGTCTGTGTGGTGCCTCAGCCCAAACTGGTGTCCTCATCCTAAACCATGCTGTCCCACGTCACATATAATTACTGGAAGAATCTTTCACATAACTTCCCTGTACTTTATGAATTTTCAGGTTTAGCTTTAGATGATGCATATTTTGCTGTATGGCCAAGGGTAAGAGGGAGAGAAGGATAACTATACATCTGCAGTCCCTGATACAAGGAAATTTGTAGATCTGATCTGTGCAGCCCCATCCTTCAAAAAATTTCCTTTTATAAACAGTTCATGATTTGGCAGGGGGGCAGAGGGGCAATACACTACCCAAGGAGCCCATCCCAGAATAAGGAAAAGAGTGCAGCAGTTCAGTCCCCTTAGTGACTGTAATTAACTACTTTTAGCCTAGAAGATGAGATCGATGTGAACGGTTTGCAAGTTATGGGAGCAGCAGCTATTTTAGAGCTGAGTATATATAGATGCTATGTTCAGTTGTCATGCAAGAGAGAGGAAGGGAGAGGACATAGAAGCTACAGGCTCACAGTTAGTTATCAAGTCAGTTGCTAAGAAATTTGATTAGGTTGTTGCTTGTACTCAGCACATCAGCTTTGCTCTTAACAAGGTGCTTTGCAATTTTCAGAAAGGAAGGGCTTTAGAAGGCCAAGACATGGGGAATGATACAGTCAGATTGTTTTGACAGGTGGTGGAAGACTGATTTGATTTTCAGATATGCAAGTATTAAACACAGTACCCTCTTCAGCCAAATTTATACTCAGGTAATTATAACTACAAAATGCTCTCCACCACATCCCCTTCCTTCCTTCAACCATTTCAGTTGCCTCATGCAGCGTGTTTTATTGCCCTAATCTGTGGTGTAGAGTTGTGGTCTGATTTTACAGCAGCTGCTGTGTATCATCCCAGAGATGGCTGTACTTTGGTGGTGGACAGAGTGATTTATATACTCATTTACCAAAGTTTATAAAGACATGTGAGAGCCATCTGAGAAAAGGTGCTCTAAATGACAGGCACAGTTCCAGCTTTTTGGCACTCCAGCTAAAAAGGCAAAGCATGGTGACCTTGTGATAGTAAGGAGAGAGAGCAGGATTAGTCCATCTGGATGTACAGCAGTATTTTGGTGGCTCTGGGTGTTGTAGTTGAGTTTGCTGTGATTTTCGTCTGTTTTGCACAGTGGGTATCTTAGCAGGATGGGAGAGTGTAAAGGGAATGGAGAAAGCCGAGGCACTGCTGTGCTAGAGATCCCTGGGCTAGCATGGTGCAAGTGGCTGCAGCATGGTACAGAAATACAAGACTAGGTGCTGGAAGCGGTCTAGCCCCAGCAATGTGCTGGGAGTTGGAAGCCCAGAGGAGAGTTAGGTCTGACTGATCATGTTGTCCTGCTGATCGTGTTGTGTCCAGCCAAATTTGTTTCAGAGCTGCCTTGGGAGATCTCACTGCCTCTCTCTGCCACACTGCCTGAATACATGGTGGAGATGACACTTCCAGGCAAGTGTCCTCAGAAAACAGTGCCTGAAGTGAGTCATGGGTTGTCACCTCTTTTTTTACCTCCAGGGCAATCCTTATGTGTTTGCTAAAGGACCTTCTAGGTCTTTCTTGGCTGATATCTCAGTGTGGAGATGGTGCCTCTTTCCCTCAAAGTGAGAAGAGGCACTTGGCCCATTTCATAGCCTGGCAAGCAGGAGAAGACTCTAGCTTTGGTTATTGTAGAGGGTAGGACACACAGATTATTTCCCTCCTCACCTCTATCTGGGTCTCTGGGGTGTAGGGAAAGAGAGTGCACAGCTTTTTATTGTCTCTGGGGAAGTAGAGAGACAAGGTACTGAGTGGTGACTACTGTCATTCACACACTGCATCTTTCCATTCTACTTCTGAATCCCTGTGTCTGCTCTAACTGCACTGGGAAAAATAAGTTTAAGCATAATTCCTCTAACACAAAAATAAAAATTCAAATTGTAGAGGCTTTGACCTCATCCTCTTCATAAATCCCTTGAGGGTGTAGTATGTGCACTGTGAAGGGCAATCCACTGAAAATAAGATGCACCTATTTGCTACAAGCTCGTTGCTGGGTGTGCAGCTTGGTTTGATACCATGAAGACAAAATAAACAGGATGAAAGGAGAGTTAAATATGAGCTAGTGGGGGCAGGACGCCTACATCTGTGTCTCTATAAAATAATATTACTTTCTACAGAGACCACAAATCTGTTTCCAGGACAGCAAAGAGGGGTCAGATCTTCAGGAGGCTGTAAACTGGCACATGCTTGGTATTAGTAGAGGTATGGTGATAAGCATCAGTTGAGAAGCAAGCCTGGTATATACTAGTAAAGGAGCACAGGGGGAAAAAAAGAAAGACTGCTATTTCAAGACCAGATTCTTTTTATAGTGTTTGTGGCTAACCATCCCTAAACTGTTAGAGGCTATACAGTTGTGAAAGAGATGTTTTTATCCATATTTACCAAGTGAGAAGGAATGCACCCATGGTCTTCACCCTCTGCAATTTCAATCAATAATGATCCCTGTGCAGAGTTTTTAAAGAGCCCTTCACAAGACATGTATTTAGGAACAGTTCTTGTGCTTGTGACCGATTATTTTGTTGTAAAAGCATATTGATTTTTGTTTATGTGTGTGTGCTTAGCAAAAGCATAGCAAGCCTGCAGCACACATTCGTTCTGAGCAGATGTACACTTAACTTCTGAGCACCACTGTGTGCTCTGAGCTGCTCTGTGTTTTGTCCTAAGCCACAGTGCTTAGGGCTTGAAAAACTGCATCTTCCATGCTGGGGATTCCCTTAATGTGAGGCCTCTTTTTCTTACCTCTATTCCCATTTTAGCATTTACATGTCTCTCTCCCTTCCTTCTTCCTACTCTCAAGCCTGAATCATTCACAATTATCAATTATTTTTTTGTTGTTTGTGGTTTACTGGACTGCATAATTTTAGACAGAGAGAGTTATGGCACAAAATAGATAGCAAAAACATAGGCAATCAAGCTAACTTCTCATGAGAAGCTATTTGTTACCCTTAGGTGAAATGTGGTGAGTGGCTATGTATGTGCTCCTGATCTGTTGCAAAGTAAACACACCAGGTTAAACAAGTGAAACTAGGTCATTTTCTTGAGGGAGGGAAAGCAAGAATGCTTGGGGCAGCTAAGAAGGGCAAAAGAAGTATAAGAATGAACTACTCTGTCTCTGTAATAATGAAATCCATACTTGAAGGTGCAGAGCATAAAGCCTGGAGCAAGGAGCAGCCTGAATTCTAATCTTGGCTTCAGGAATAATTTACTGCATGTTCTCAGTACTGGATAACCAAGCCTTGCATTATCAAATGGGTAGCCTTGGCACTACAAGTTTTGGAGGTTTTCTAGCCCATCATTACTTAAAGCACCCAGGAAAAAGTTGCATTGAAGAGTTAGTGCTACTTAGTGACCCTGAGATGTGTTGCTGCACTGACACATAAGGCTTCTGGTCTAGTGAAGGACAGAGTAGCAGCTCACCGCTCCTTGCTACTGGTGCCTAGGAATACTTTCAGGAACCCTGACAAAGGTGAAGCAGAGCACAGGAGTAAGGAGTGGTAAATAAAAGTGAATAGAGGAAAGGGCAGCTATTACTGTAAAATGGTCATTGGAGACTGCAAGACTGTGTTTTCCATTCTATTTTTAAAAAGCTGTGTACAGCTCTTATCACTGTTTGATATGATACTTAGAAACGTCAGTGTGGAGAGGAATGAAGAGCTGGATAAGACCCAGTATGTCTCTACTCCATCCAATTTTGTATCCACACAAAGTACTAGTGTAATGATTCAGTGCTGGTATGACTTACCAACATTTTCACCTCTGGCTAGATGCCGTAAAGTTTAGGAAACTTCAAAGTCCTGTCATACCTTCTCACTATTTTAATGGTGATGTAGAGTTTTTTTCTTTAATAGGAACAAATCTTCCTGTTCCTATAAATACTCGATTTTCTGTTACTCTAGGGCCCAGGAATATTTTCAATACATTTAATTGAAAATGTTGACCAGACTGTTTCATCTTTATTCTTTCATGTCAATAATATTGAATGAAGTCATTGCAATCCATAATTTTGTTTATGAAAAGACACTGCTAAATCCCATTTTAGCTGCTGTGTATGGTCACTTGTGAATGGGCCAAATTCAACTGGATTTATACACAAACACCTCCTTTATGACTGATGATTCTGGTGCTGTAATTTATCAAAGTTACTGGATGTGGCAGTTGCTCATCTTGGATAATTGCCATCATTG